AGCAGGTCAACAGCAAGTCTGAAAAGAAGACAGACAACCAGCAGCTTGTAGACAGGTAAGTTCAGCCGAGGAGTTAGACCCTCAACAGCTCATGTTGTGCACATTTTTTGACATACTGTACATTTGAACAGTAGTACCTCAGTTAAAATAGCTTAATACCACAAAACCAACGTTTTAAAGGTTTCCTGGTGAGAACTGTTTTAGCTTTACTACTGTAAGATGTTCAGTGTATTGTTACGTTTTGGTAATTGTGAGGACCATGGAACACTTGTGGCATGAAGAAGGCAGTCCTTCCAGTCAAACCTGAACATCACCAAGACAGGACTGAAAAAAGTGACATGTGGAGTGATGATGTTCACAAACCTCAAAAAACCTCTTTTAACAAGTAATTTGGCTTCACAGTCAGTTTTCAACATCCATTTTGCAGAAAGGAGAAGGATTATAATCAAGAAAATCACACTTGAAACAAGCTGAGACAGGTTTAAAAAGTCCAATTTTAAGACCCAGTATCAGAAAAAGTGATTCTGTTAAGATCCACTTTTGCAGGGTTGACATCTTTCTGGACTGGATCTATTTGTTTTGATAATTACAAACCCCAAGACATTAACTGTTTCCAGGAGTTTTGACTGTGTATCTGAACCCTCTGTGTCTGTCTGTCTTTCTCAGTCTGCAGAAGGAGAACGAGGAACTGAAGGCCACAGTAGCAGAGCTCAGGTCTGCTCTGGAGGCAGACTGCCGCCATGTGGCCGCTCTGGAGATTTGCCTGAAAATTGCAGAGCGGAATCGAGATGAGGCTCAGAGACGCAATGAGGAGCTGCAGAGAGAAATTCAGCAGTTGCTCACTAGAAAGCCACATGCTCCCACCTAAAGATCATTTACAAACTCACTAGTATATGGCTTTATAAGCCCACTGAACTCAACAAAGCTAATTTTACAGGAGCTGATTATGGAAAATACTATCACCTTCCAGTGTGATAGAACCGAATAGTTTCCATCTGAGCTCTGTTTAGTCCTGAAGATAAATTATGGGCTCATGTATTTCTGTCTGTGAGAAAAGTCTGTTAATAAGAGCTCTAAACAGGCTTCGCATTAAAGACTTTATTTACAGCATGAGCTTGTTGCTTCTCATGAGAGAGCTGTCACTGTGTATGGACTTCTTTGATCTGGTGTAGCTATTATGCAGTACATAAAGAAAAGGAAATGCCAGACTAGAAAAATGGATTAATTCATTTGGAAACTTGGAAATGGTAGAAAAGAGTTTCCACAGAAATGCAAGGCTGGACCACCTGGGTGATTTTGGGTCACACTGTTTCGTGACAGAACAACTGGACAGTGTAATGTTAATGGTGGACAAATACAAACAGTGTGTGTCAGATGAAGTAAATAGCCAATTGATGTCATTTTAGTGTTAAATTAATAAAATTTCATAAATTAAATGTTTGCGTTGATGCATAAAACAATTTTTGACCACATACTGGCAGGGTTAAACTCATAACTAGATATTATTCACACTCAGAGTATGCAATTTGTTTAATTCAATGTGCATGTGTATGCGTTGCTCTGCCATGCTCCTCGACTCACAGCATTGTTGTTTTTCACCTCACTGGTTTAGTGTTACAGCTCACAACTTAACTGTCATTTACTACTGCCTTGAATACGCCACTATTTGTATAACGGATCAGTAGAACATTAGTTTCCTACAGAGTTTTAACTTGAATTGATTTCATCAACTTTTTTGATGTGATGATCGTATCACCTGGGAAATTAGCTTTCAGTACATTTTGCTTTCTCAAAATATAACACCGTGGAGGAAACAGATGAAAACAATACAAGATATCAGCACAAACCACTGTCTGTTTGACGGTTTAGTCCAAAAATAGCAGCCCCTGACCCCCATAAATCTATATTTGTTACGTGGTGAAGTCCATAACTGAGCCTATATGGAGGGGCCTGTGTGTGTACAAAAGGACATTGCCACTATCAAGCCTTCTTACAGCCATCAGGAAGATGTGACAGTCTGTTGTGGCAGCAGTTTAACAGAACAACAGATAACAGCATGTCTGTCAAATGTCAGCCTGGCAGATGAGTGGCAGAGACAGGAAAAAGCTCATTCCTTCCCATCTCTGTGACGCACCGCAATCAGAAGTGTATCTGCAGGTCACACAAAGAAGCTCAGGAATGAAGTAGCACAGTGGGATGAGAGTTCAGGTGACGAAGCATTGCTCAGATCTGTCAAGCTGCCAGATGTTCTCATCAGAAAACATCTGAGCACCCCCGTGACCCCGTGTTGGTGGCTGAGGCAGTATACTTCACCATGTACTGTATATTCATATATGCAGTTTGATGTTGATGGTGGAAGTCTTTCTTCATGAGTCACCCATTCTCCATAACCTTCACATTTGATGTGTGGCTTTTTTCTGATCTGTAAAGTTCTAGCTACCCTACCTACTGACTACGTGTTAAATGTGCCTCAATGTACTTGCAAATTTAAGGAGCATTTTGCATCCAGATAGCCCATTTCAGACACCGTGTCCACTTAGCAGAAGAAGAAGCAACAAGCATAACAACAGGGTGATTGCTGCTTGGTTCGATGAACATGATTATTTTGTATAATTCTGATGTCCTTGTGAGCTACTTGAAATGTTCTCCCGACTCAATATCTTTCATTTTCCATCATTAAGTCCTCACAGCCCATTGCATTTCAATTTCATTTGGACAAGTGTTGCCTAACAAATATATCCTGTTACATTCAGTAGGATCAATAGACCCTAGGTGTATTTTATCAAAAAGAAATGGTCAGTGGAGCCTAGACAGCGGTTTGCATAACTCCACCATTTACAAAGCAAATAAACAAATGAAGAATATCAACCCCAGAGCATCCACCCAAACAAAATAGCACTTCCACAAGGAACGGGCTACAGGGCAGTGTTTACAAAATCCTCATTAAGAAAGTTGTGAGATAACACATGCTCATGTGCATCACACAAAGTTGAAGGCATGCACACACACACACACACACCAGCAAAGAGACCTTAAGCACAGAGCAATGCTGAGCCCACCATATCATAGATAAGAGACAGAAAGAAAGAGCTGGGAAGAAGAGAGCAGAGCACAGAGAGAGGCTGACAGAGGAGAGGACACAACAGAGATGAGTTGGACGGACAAAGACAAGTCTTGGCCACCTTGTCACTGGAACTGCACCCCTGTCGCAAAGGACATCAAAAGGTGTGCATGAGAATAAATGCTGTGAGATGAGGAAGAGAGCAGCAGAAATACACACTCATGCAGAGAGGCTCACACTGGCCAGTGCAAGGGTCAACAACACTACTGACTACTGCCAGGGACCAGAACCTTCTTAGGCTCCTGATGAACTGAACACAATTTCAATTAACATTTGGGTTAAGGGGTCAAGAGATCACAATCACTTTATCTTATTGTTGCATCAGCTCATCCACAGACAACCCCAGAGGGGATCAAATTGAGTGCCGCAGACTGTTTTTCCCATGGCGAGCATTTGCTGGGAACTGGGAACTATCTGCTGCTCCAAGACTTTGTTTTTGCTGTTTTCCATCCTGCTGCTCCAGGGGCCTCTCTGCGGAGAGACCAGCCCCATCTTCAGCACCCATCGAAGGCATCGCCCTGCTCCTGGGCAGGGAGACGGGCATGGAGAAGTGGTGGATCCATCACTGCTAGAGCAGGACGGCAACATGGACACACAGAGTCTGCTGGAGAGCTTGAAGGAACAGTTTCTGCAGACTTTCAACCTGTCGGGCTTGGGTCCTCCTCCTCTGCCCCCTGGAAGCCCTCAAGAAGAGCCGCCTGAGTACATGATGGAGCTCTACAACCGTTTTGCTAATGACCGCACTGCTATGCCCACTGCAAGCATCATCCGCAGCTTCAAAAATGAAGGTAAAAAAGGAACCACTTTTTCTTTTTTAACTGCTGCTGTGTACAGTATTCTGAAGTTTATTTTATTTAAATATAATTTGTATCTTCTGCATTACACTCTAGTCTTCAAGGCCAAGGTCTTCTTTCATGTATGTAGAGTTTTAAGTAAACTGTAACTTCATGCAAGTACAAATCAAATTTAAGTTGATTAAATCCAAGCCTTAGCCATGACCCTTTTCCTTGTTACTTCTCACTGCAAGTCAGTGATCATATCAAAATGTTTTTCGTATGCTTAAATGGAACAGCTAGAAATAAAATAAAAGAGACTGAATAGTTAATAATAGTTAAATGTTTCCCAAATAAGGATGAAATCCTCCCTAGACTTAGGATATGTTGCAGAACTCAGCTGAAAGCATTACTACAGTGATAAAATGTACAGAGGCTAACAGTTTAACCATTTATTTCTCTTTCCTAGATTCATCTCCCAGTGATGTGGTTGTTGGAGGAGTGAGGCATCACTCTCTCCTCTTCAATGTGTCAGTCCCCCATCATGAAAGCATCACAGCAGCTGAGCTTCACCTCTACACCCTTATCCAGAACGACCGCCACCTTAGCACTGGCGTTGACCGCAAGGTCACTATCTACGAGCTAGAACTGCATGACGGGGATGACAACGTAACAGATGAGAGCACCATGAGAGGAGATGAACTCAGAGGAGGAGGGGAGCGAATAAAGCTGGTGGAGTTGGCTTCCCGCCAGGTCTATGGCACTGATAATGGCTGGGGGGCCTTTGACCTCACTGCTGCAGTGCACCGCTGGCGCAAATCTGACCGTGGCACCACACACAGATTGGAAGTGCACATTGCCAGCATGGCTAATGAAGATAATGATCAAGGTATGACAGAAGACAGCAAAGACAGGAGTTCACCTGAAGGAGACATGAAGATTGACACCAGTCCTGAAGAAAAACACAAACCCCTGCTAATCATTTACTCCAACGACCAAAGCAGTGATCATCGTGATGACAAGCGTGAGCTGAATGAGATGATCGACCATGAAATCTCTAACATGGTTCTACAGAACAATGTAGGGACTGGTCTGAGCGGGCTGAAGGGTCAGCTATGGCAGGACAGGGAGGAGGGAGATGAAGAAATTGTGCCAGGTGAAGAGGACCTCATCCAAATGCGATCCAATCTGATCTATGACTCAGCATCCCGCATTCGTCGCAATGCCAAAGGCAACCACTGCAAGAAGAAATCTCTGTATGTAGAGTTCAAAGATATTGGATGGGACAGCTGGGTCCTGGCACCCACTGGTTATGATGCCTTTGAGTGTACTGGCATTTGTTCCTTCCCACTGACAAAGCACGTCACACCCACCAAGCATGCCATCATCCAGACGCTGGTCAACATCAACAGTCCCCAGAAGGCGGCCCGAGCTTGTTGTGTTCCGACCAAGCTGGACCCCATCTCCCTGCTATACCTGGATGACACAGGTGTGGTCACCTACAAGTACAAGTTTGAAGGCATGGTGGTGGCTGAGTGTGGCTGCAGATAGTCCATAGTTTGAATTGAACTCTTTGCAAAGTCTTATAGTAGGAGAGAAGATGTCAAACTCACAATAAGCTGGAAAAGGAGTAGGCTAAGAATGTCTCCAGAGACAAAGGGACAACTGTTGGAATCTCTGCAGGGGTTACTCGGTGAAGTTGGAAGTGAGCATTCACTATAATCTGGTGGGAACTAGTGGGCCAGTTTCCCTCCTCCCTCTCCCTTCCCTTGACATGTCTTCCTCTCTACTTATCTCTGGCCTCCCCACACGATGCAAACACTCATCAGCACTTCATGTGTCCTGGCACAGTGAAATGACCTCCCTGAGGCAACCTGACAGCACATGAACTCTGCAGGCCCACCTTCTGCTTCCTGATACATATGCACTGTGCATGTGGCCGGGTTATCTTCTCCAACCCTGTTTCCCACTTCACATGCCTCTTTTCCACTCCCCCAAGCTACAGCGATAGCAAGGTGTTGGGGCTGAGAAACATGTACGCCACCACTCAGGCTTGGAGAACTGGACGCCATTCTGGGCAGCTTTTGTGGTGGTGGTATGGAGGAGTGGACAGGACAAGAGGGTAGAGGTTGTCCACATTCCTAGGCAACGAACATTCTTAACTGGTTCAGCTCACTGACCTTGCACCATGTGCCCCCAACACCAACTGATCAAACAAATGATCCGTTACTTTTATGGTATGAAAGGTCTTCTTGGAACACTATCATCTGTAAGTTGAAATCAAGAGTGGAAAAGGGGGAACCTTGTCGGATTCTCTTTATGGCTACCCAGAGGAAGTACAGTTATTTTCTTTCGTTATAAGCCTTTTGATACCTCTGCTGCTTGTGTCAAACAAAAGACTATTTATTGTTCTAATTTATTAATTTTTACAACAAAGCAGATAGCTATATATGTAAATTTGTAATTTGCTTAAAGTAGAGCAGGTTTTGTAACAATGACAATGCATTTGCAGCACAAAATGACTTTTGTTGGGAAGAGAAATGGTAACAATTTCTGAAACAATAAAGAAAAACTACTTAAAAGGTCCTAAATGAAATGTTTCTTATGACTTCGTTGCTGATCCTGACTGTTTCAGAAAGTTTACACACCATGTTATTCAAAATGTCATTAGGAAATCTCAGTTAATTGTACTTGATACATTTCCACATTACATTTATCAATCAGAGCATCTGGTCTGTCACCTTGCCTTCTCACTCTTTTAGGAGGAAGCTGCTGGACTGATAATACAGTACATAGCTTGCATTCAGATCATTCAGTCCGACAGTATCAGCTCACAGGTCATAGTTCATACATGACACGCAAACAAAGAACCATGGGAAAAAGCCAGCTAATGAACAAAATGGATGGTGTTCTGCTCACACTGACAGTGAGCAGATGCAGACAGCTGTGATGGAAAACCTGTCTGTGGGGAGAACATGTGAACAAAAGACAAACAAAGGTCTGCAGTCTAGTGTCTCCTTCTGTTCTTTCTAAATTATGAAAGAACATTGTGACACCCACTGAAGATGTAAACAAAGGATACAGATCAGATACTCTGAAATGTGATTAACTTTCTTTTAGTACTTTGTTGTTGAGAATATGTGTCACACAAACATTGTATGAAAGGTGGGAGAAGTCTATGTTCTGCCTGGGTAACTTACACTGCTACACCAGCACGAAGGAGGTCAAAAATAAAATGGAGAGCAAAAACTAAGATGCAGACTGATGTAACAAAACACACAATGAAGTATGGTTCAGATCTAGGCGCTACATGCAGGATAGGCAAACTAGTTAAAGGTACACTGACATTTATGCCCATTTGGTTTCTTGCAGAGTTTTAAATGATCAGATTGACAGCAAGTCTCATGTCTGCTTGTGAAATATGAGAATACAGCCTGAATACAGTTACAGTAGTTTAGCGTGAGATAAAGTCCAGCAGGAAGAACGGTTAGGCTTGTCCAAAGATAAAATGTGTGCCTATAGCTCACTGACATAGCTCACTAATGAACACCTTAATCTTGTTTGTATAGTAGCTGTTCCTCCTGTTTCCAATCTTTATGCTAAGATAAGCTAATTGTCCGCTATTGCAGCTGAAGTTCCATACTTAATTGACAGATCTGAGTGGGGTATCCATTTTCTCGTCTAACCCTCAGCATGAAAGTAGATACTGTAAACGTCATCCCTGTGAGAGACTTTTATAAACAATGAAATGTTACTGCAGTAACATTTACACCAGTAATGATTTAAATGCAGGTAAGTAGTATGTCTAGTGCAAATATAACTTACATAGTTATAAAGTCAATGCCACACTGTTACAAAATAATGATTATGTGATGCCTCTGTTTTGACACAATGTTTTTTCTTTAGGGTATGACCATGCAGTAAAATTCTAATATGTGGCTGAATGTGCTGTGTGAGCACTCCTTTTTCATCTATAAGCAGTGTGTGTTGTAACTGAAATTGCATTTTTAGAAGCTTGTTACTGTAATATTTGCCATTTAAAGCTTCCTCACAAAAAAAAAAATTGTACAAAAAAAGTCTTTGGCAACAGCCTACTAATAACAAGTGCAGTGAGATGTTTCAGAAAACAAGTCGAGCATTGACTGACCTCTCGTGTAAGAATAGAGTAGAGGTCTTCTAAAAATGGTTGCAGACCAGGGGGCAAGAACCTCAGCTACTAAGTATGACAACAGGCAGCCTAAGCTAAATAAGCTTGCTAATTGCATATTTACAGAGAGCTGGAAGAAATATGAATCTGGCCTTTGTCACTGAATGGCGACCATTCAGGAAATATGATGAAACGGAGAGTCTTTAGTATTTTCTCTCATGATAAGGACTATTTCAGAGTGCTCTGTGCTTTTTCTCTCTACTGTTTTGACATGGCTCCATCTGTTGAAAGAATTGTTGTTATGAAGAATTTAGGGTATGTGATTAATTTAACAGCACACCTATGGACAAGTAAACAAACTGGACTGTTCCCACTGAACAGTTCAAAGTGTAATGCTCCACTGTCTGACATCATGACACTGGCTGCAGGATGTTGACGTGCGTCTTGCTGTGAGCATGTTTCGATGCGTGTCATCCAAAGCTGCATGACCTGCCCTGACTCTGTAATAAGGTCTGATTGTTTCTGGTTTGGGTCACAGGTTTATCATTTCATCTTAGGGCAACACCACCATCCAGCAGCCTACTCATCTCTTGCTATTTTTTGAGCCTCTTCATTTTCCAGGAAAAGCACAGTTTGCCGAGCCAGAAGTAGGCAACATCCAAACATACATACACCTTTAAACAATTTGCATTTGACTCTGACCTTCAAAAAGCCCTGGGAAATAGTTAGTAATGAAAAGCAGATGTTCAGTGTAGTTCACATGCTTTTGCTTTTGCTTTTGCTTTTGCTAACCAAGTACTATTGCCCTCAGACTAATTTCTCTGGGAAATTAGTTGTATGATTCATTTTGCTGTATTGGCTGGACAAAGAGAAGCAAAGAAGAACCATACAACTGTTAATCCTTATTAGATGTACTTACATTCCTCAAAAACACATTTGATTTGATTTGATTTATTCTTTCAAACATGTAACAACAGTCAATATGTCAACACACATAATTTCACACATATCCACAAATATATTATCAATTTGCTTATACCTAGTACATGCTTGAACGGAGTAGGAAGAAGTTAGACTTATCTAGTCCTACCCCCTAACATCATCTTATCATCATTGGTTTGAAAGCAGTATTACTACATAGATTATTTTGCTCTACACCACGCTAGTGATATACTAAAAACACCACACTCACAATGTTTCACCTGATTATCGTTAAGCCTGTTCTTGCCCATATCTTGATTGACACATACCTTTGTATTTGTGTTTAAACTCATCAATTCTCTTACTGTTATTATTCTTACATTGTACTCAAATAGGTTAGTGAGAAAACTATAATGTATAAATATATAATGTATGTGTATATACATGTGTAAATAAAATCATGTGAAGAAAGACAACATTGCTTAAGTAATGTGGCTCTCTACAGGAAAAGCCTCCCCAAGGTCAATCATAAGATTGTTGTTGCTCAGTTGTGGTCACTTTTGAGAGACAGTGGCATTGAGGAAATATTTCATTTTTGCTTTAAGTCAAGCATAGCACTGAATCAGCATTATTAAAAATTAACAATGACATTCTATTGGCCAGGTATACCAGGGATTTGGTTTTGCTGGTGCTTTTAGATCTCACTGCTGCTTTCGATACAGTGGTTCATGGAACCTTATTGTCTTGTCTGGATCAATGTGTGTGGGAATCCAAAGGTACTGCTCTTAATTGGTTTAGGTCATCTCTCACAAATAGGAGTTTTGCTGCTATTGGTGCCTGTTCCCCCTCTCCAGTCCCACTGTTTTGTGGTGTTCTCCAGGGATCAGGTTTTGGCCCAATTTTGTTTTCATTGTATTTGTTCCCATTGAAGTCTTAAGGCTTTAAATGCTGTGGCACCACTATACCTTAGTGAACTACTCTATTGGCATAAACCAGCAAGATCCCTCAGATCATAAAGTCAGCTTCTTTTAGAAATTCTAAGGGATAGATATAAATGCTCAGGTGATCATGCTTTTGCTGCTGTAGCCCCCGGGTTATGGAATAGCTTACCTTTGAATGTTAGATCAGCTACAAATTTGGTATAATTGCTTAAGACCTATTTATTTTCCTTGGATTTTAACACTTAGTGGAGTTTAATATTCTGTTTTAATTATGGTTTTGTGTCTTTTTGTATTTTATTGCATTTTTTAATCATTTGTAATGATTTTATTTTATTTCTGTTTGTTTACAATTTTATTTGTGTATGTGAAGTACTTTGGTCAACACAATGTTGTTTTTAAAGTTCTATATAATTAAATTTGATTTGATTTGATATTCACTCTCAGCATCTTTGATATTCTTCTTTCATGTGAAAAGAGCATTAGCACTCAGCTGAAGTCTGTTGTTAATAAACCTGAAGAATTAGTTTATTATAGGACTGTGTGTTGATGATGATACCTCTGTAGTGAAATAAAGGCTGTAACTACTAAGGCTGTATAGCAACAGAACCCTTACAGTAAAACATGTGGCTTTGATTGCTTAGTCAAATCCTTGTGGAAGAGTGAACATAGCCAGTTCAGAGCCCCAGGGCATACAAACCACAGCTACACAAACAAGAACCTGAACTTGAGGTGAAGAACAGTTTCCTGTTGTTATATACTCTCTCATGCTTAGCAAGTTTAGAAAAGTTGAAACAGAAAAAATCACACTCATTTGTAAATGACCAAATATATTATTGAATATGAGAGATATGAATATATATACATATATATATATATATATAGAGAGAGAGAGAGAATATGATTCATCAAGAAAAAAATGTGCAAATTATAACCTACTGCATATTTATAGTATTTGTACTTCCCACTCTTTCAAAAGCTCAAATCAGCTTACCAAAGTGCAAAAGATAACATGCTACATATGTATCAAAATGTGCAAAAACATCTTCTTGTGATTTTACAGAGGGTTAGGTCCTTGACTGTTTTTGGTCAGGGGTAGTCACCTCTTGGTCTCTCTCTACTGCTCTTTAACTCTCTTTCTAGTCTTTATACTAAGTATACTAAGTAAGCTGCCAGCTGTAGCTTCAATTTACAGCACAGAACCATTATTATTATTGCCACTCTTATCAATTACAATCAGCATTATCATTTTTATTACATAGTATTTTGGTATTGTATTTTGTGGTCCTAAGTTTTAAAATGTCTTGAATGGACATGTGCCTGAACACATCACTCATGCTCGATATGTCCCAAAAAGGTGGTCCCAGTGAGTGAAGTAGGGGGCGTAGTTGCCAACTTGTAAACTATGGTGGGCTTGGTGGTAGGGAGCTCCTCCCACACAGGGCAACAGTCTGTGCAGAGCCCAGGGCAGATCGTAACCACAGTGGTCTTCCACCGCCAGCCAGCTGTTGAGGAGGTGGAAGACGACTTCGCTCAGAGGGTGGCAGCCCACCAGCCAGGTGCTGCTCACAGCCAGCAGCAGCAAAGACAGCAGCTCGACCGAGCTGGCATCCTGGGCTGCCAGAGCTAAGAGTATGTGGTGCTTGTGGTGTAGATGGTGGATGTTACGGTACAGCCAGGGAACCCTGTTGAGGACACACAAACAGATGTCTGTTTTACTGTTACTTTAAGAGACCATAACTGGAACATTCCCAGAATGGGGCAATAGAGAATGTGGTATAATGTCTGGTTGTCTGTGCTAAACTACTGCACAGAAAGTTCTGCTACTTCTAATAGTACTACTACTAGCACGGTGTGCTGAAATTCACTGGCACTACGCTGATTTTACATATGAAGATCAGATTAATCTTTCCTGAAGATGTCATAGTGATGTCATCAGAGTTATCTCAGACTGGACATGACAGATTTTGAAGTGAAGGTCTGAAGAAAAGTTTTAATGGGAAATGTAGGTCTTGGTTTTTTGAAGTTTGAACCAAAGAAGGGAGAAAAAGTAGGATATTTCAGCTGCTGCTGCTTCACTGTTAACTGCTCTTTTTTTTAAGCAATCCTTGTGCAAGTCCCCCAACTTTAAAGGATTGCAATACTGTAACAAGTTCAAGATCAAGGTTTTTTATTATTGTCAATTCACTATATGTGCAGGACATACAGAGAAATCAAAATACTGTTTCTCTCTCTCCTAATGTTGAATGTCCATACCATTTAAGAAACTAAATAGAATAAATGTAGAATAAACTCCAAATAAATAGAATATGAAGACTGAATTAAAGTAATTAGGATAAACTAAATGGTACAATCTAATAGGCTGTGATGAAACTCAAAGCCATGTGCAAACAGTGACAGTAGTGCAAATAACAACAAGAAGATTGTCAGGTGGTCAGCATCACCAGGAGCGTTGGAGATGAGATGCATGATAGCTTATGAAATGTATATGGACAGTACTGCAAATGACCAACAGCAGCAGATATGACATAAAAAAACAGTCATCAGGAGATTCACATATAAAATGACAAAAAGGGCGAATGTATTGAGTTTGTGCAACAGCAGGGGTGGTCTGTGTCTTTTATGTTCTGTGGTGGGTTACGGTCCAGGGGCAGAGGGGGGGGAGGTAATGGACAGCGTTCAGCATCCTCACAGCCTGGTGGATGAAACTGTTTGTAAGTCTGGTGGAGTGGGCCTGAAGACTCCGATACCTTCCCCCTGAAGGCAGGAGTCTGAAGTGGGAGTGTGTGGGGTGGGAGGTGTCATCAGCAATGCTGATGGCTCTGCGGGTGTTAAAAATATCCGTGAGGGAAGGTAGAGGGGCACCGATGATCTTACTGGCTGTATTCACTATGTGTTGCAGGGTCCTTCTGCAGGAGGCAGTACAGCCTCTGTACCACACAGTGATGATACTCTCAATGGTGCCCCGGTAGAAGGAACACATGATGGGGGGTGGGGCACTGGCTCTCCTCAGTTTGCAGAGGAAGTAGAGGCGTGTTTGAGCTTTCTTGGCCAGTGATGCTGTGTTGTTGGTCCAGGAGAGGTCCTCAGAGATGTGCTCTCACATGCACCCGGTAGTTCATGTGATGTAAAAGAAAATGTGATTCAGCAGACTGGGCCACCTTCCTCCATCGCTCTCTCCGGTTCAGTTCTGACCCTCACTTGTAACTGTAGGTGCTTTTGGCGGTGGAAACAGCATGGGCACTTTGACCAGCCTGTGGCTACACAGCCCCATATGCAGCCAGCTGCGATGCCCTGGGTGTTGTGATGCCTGTCTGTCATAGCCGATGTAACCAGAGTGGCCAGGTAAGGAGAGTAATTATAGCACCTTTGACCTGGGTCCACCTAAGACAACAACTCTACACAGGTATGTACTACATACAGTGAGACAGAGACCAGGCTTCCAATATTATTAAATAGACAATTTATTCAAAGACATGGATAAAAGTGCTCACAATTACTTTATTAAATTGCCATCAAAGATTAAATTGTACTTTTCAAATTGGTTAAAAGAATGCCCACTCTCCAAATACACACAACACTAATGCCCCCGCTACACACTGTACACACACAACACAACGTTCACACATCAAATGCCTTTATGTGAAGTGACACACACACACACACACACACACACACACACACACACACACACACACAAAATCCACCCAGTAGTAACATCTACAGCTTATGTATTACTCTAATAAAACCCAGAGGCATCATAGAATTACCCAAAGACACAATAACTCATTGGTGTGTCTCACAACTAATACATAACACATGGTAATGATAAAAGGCAGATACGAGATACAGAGTGAACCTGACAGACATGCAGTAATCAAAAAAGAGCCGACAGTGGTAGGCTCCCCTAAAATTTAAGAGACATACTATTATTCTAAATTCCAGCTTCCTACCAGTGGTAGAAGCCAACAGTGAAGGGGTGAAGTTGTACTTCCCCCTATCTCAGCCCTTAGGACTTGATCACCTACCCTGCCACCTACACATCACATACAAATGTAATCAACTGTCCCAGAAGAAAAACACACATGGGAGAAATAAATTATAAATATACCTCTGCAGGGGAACTCTACAGCTCAGACATCAAGATGCATGTGCTCATGAGTCAGTCTGGGATTTAAACATTCAGAATACAGCAGCATGAACACTAACACCCAGCTGTCTAGCCAATACAATTTGACCCATATCAAAGCCTCTAACATACAGTGGAAATACCAGAACGGCTTATTGGCTTACTCAGGCGACACTCATCCACCTCAGATTTCTCAAGAAACTATTCCTCAAACAAAGACACAGCCAAGTTCCCAGAAGCCATATTAAAAAGTTACATGAGCATATAGGCTACTCATACATCACATTGATCGGTTTTCTGAACAAAATTTCTAATAGGCCAACACCTGCTGGTGGTTTTCTTGTTGAGGCTGATCAGTGGTGGAAGATACACTCAAAACCTTAAGTGAAAATATCCTACTACAGTGTTAAATATATTCCAGTGTAGCTAAAGGCCCCGTATTTTAAATTTAAATAAGTAAAAGTACATAATTGCTATCTAAAAATGAACATAATCAAAGTAAAATGATCTCCATCACCGTATTAATCTAGATTATTATTGCAGATGCATTATAATGTGAGCAGCATTTGGCGGTGCAGTTTCTACTGTTGGGTTATTTACAGTAATCTACTGTAGGCAACATTTACAATACGACTCACCTGTGCATGGTGAAGTGCAAAAAAAAGAAGAGCATGTCAAAAAGCAGAAAACATGCGAAAACTTCCACAAAGAGCTGCCAGCAGGACGGCGCCAGTTCCGGGAAAGTGGGGCTCCTCAGGGTCTGAAACAGCGCGGTGACTGGGAGGACGGTGGTGAGGTACCTGTACAGCACACTCCAAAAACATTCCAACCATTGGCAGAGAGACGGCGGCGGTCCAGAGCCCGCAGCTATCCTCCACGACCGGACCCGCTGGAAGACGTTCCCCAGCGCGTCTAGCGCGAAGAACGGTGCGCAGAGCAGGACGTGCATCAGGAAGGCGCAGGTCGCTGGGAGGTACGGGGACAGCAGAATCATCTCCTGACCTGCTCTGACATACTCCCATAGGCCCTGGAGGACAGGCACGAATGCATCACCATGCTCTGTGGAGCATGCATTCATCGCGGCACTTCACTTTAAAATGGGCAAGTTAAGCATATTTTTTCCTCAGCAGCTGCCACACTTTCTGGGGCGAGTAGTGTTGCTGGAGGATTTTTTTTTCCACGTGTAGGAGGGGCACTGGACTACACAGTGTTATGTAGTTCAATAAAAATGGCTTTTCACTTTCAGCTAAAAC